GCCTCCCAGAGAGCTAGGATTACAGGCGTGAGCCACCGCGCCTGGCCTCAAGGGCATTTTTATAAGTTGGAAAGAATGAAACGTGGGGATGGGGGAGGGGAAAGGATTCTACAGGAGGAGGGGAGAGAGCTGCTGACATGGTGTCCTTGAGGGGAGGAATGTGGATGGGATCTAGCGCACTGGGGAAGGGGGTGGTCTTAGCTGGTTCGAGGACAGTCCATCCTTGGTAACGAGAGGGCGCACGTGCTACCACATTTCATCAAATCTAAGTACCGTCAAATGTAAGACTCCTACCCAAAAGTAAGAGAGAAGAATTAAATTATTGATTATAAGAAGCATTCCAATTTCAGAGATGCTAAGATGTGGTTTAACAAAGACGCATCTTAGAATCCATAAGATGCAGGGTGTGTGTGGACACTAATGCTGCTGGCGGGTCACCGTGGGGACCAGAGCTGTGAAGGTCTCTTCCCAACGCTCTGATTTCTCAGTGACATAGAGAAAGTGATCAGTTGCGAGTGAGGGTGTCGGGAACATGCTGGAGGGTCAAGGAGAAAGGAGAAGGTACAGGGGAGTCACCTGGAGAGTGGGGCAGTGGAGGCCTGGGGGAAGCCTAAGGTCCTCTAAGGCTGGTGGTCATGAGTCAAAGTGAGTCCCACCACCATCGTGGGTGTTTCTCCAGCCACATTTAGGTTCCCAGGTCCAGGCACTGAGTGGGTAGAAAGTTGCGTTTAACCAGGTTTGGGGTTTTGCAAAGCAAGTATGATGAAGCAACGGCGTATGAAGGAGGAGTATGAAGGGCCAAGGCATTGAATGTGCAGGCCAGGAAGAGCTTCTAAGGATGCACCAGGGAATTGCCGCTAGGTATGGAGAGAGCTGACGTCGGGCAAGGGACAGTGAAGGGAGGCGGGATCAAGGGATGGAAGTCCCCAGCTATAGACTGCGTGATACCAGCAAGGCTGAGTGTAGACAGATTTGAGAATAGGCCCAGGGACTGAGCCCTGGGGCCCTGTAGGGTATAGATACTGGGCAACAAGGAAAAGCCAGCAAGGAGGTGAGAAGGAGCAGCCTGTAAGGTAGCAATCGAACCGGGAGACTGTGATATATTCCCTAGATCCTCACAACAATTCTACCAAGTGGTGCTATTATTATCCCCATTTTACAGATGAGGCAACTGAGGCACAGAGAGGTTAACTAACTTGGTCAAAGCCACACAGCCAGTAAGTGGCAGAGCAGAGCCTGGATTCAAACCCATGCCATCTGGTTCCAGCATCTGTGCTTGTAACCACTGTATGACACTCCTTCTTCCCATGTGCAAATGAACATGGACATGGCATGTGACTCCACGAACATTCAGGCCCCTTTCACTAAGTGCGTTCTTTACTGGGGTCTGTGTGCAGATCTGTCCAGTGTCTGCATCCTACATGGACTGTGTGTTTGCCTCTGTGTCTGCCTGCACAAATCCACGCAGCTGATTGTGTATGTGCATGTGGCTATCCACACACAGGGGTGTCACACGTGTAAGTGCAGCGTGAGCCCGCGTGCACCTGGCTGTTTGCCTGCAGATGTGTTCGTAAGCATGTATGTGTGGGTCACGCCTACGCTCATGTCTGTGGGCAAACACCGATAGTCCACTGTGTGTGACTGTGTAGTCTACTGTGCGTGGGCCCGGGTAGCTATCTGCTACGTCACCAGAGGGCCTGACCCCTTCAATTCCTCCTCGCTCTCCTCCAGTTGTGCATGCCCGTCGCAAACCCCAGGCCTGGGTGAACCCCACCTGGCGCTTCTCTGAGCCTGCCTGCTGAGGACAGCGTCACAATGAA